CCTGCCTCAGCCTCCCGAGTAGCTGGGACTACAGGCGCGCGCCACTATGCCCAGCTAATTTTTGTATTTTTAGTAGAGATGGGATTTCACCATGTTGACCAGAATGGTCTCGATCTCTTGACCCCGTGATCCACCTGCCTCGGCCTCCCAAAGTGCTGGGATTATAGGCGTGAGCCACCGCACCCGGCCTGATATTTTGTTAAATCTAAAGATCAACTTACGGAGAATTGACAACTTGACAATGGTGAATCTTCCCATCCATGAATATAACATGTCTCTTGTCTATTTAGGTCTTTTATTTCTTTCATCAGTATCTTAGAGTTCTGAGTACAGGCCCTATGCATTTGATTTATACCTAAGGATTTCATTATTTTATAAACTATTGCAAATGACATTGTTTTTTAAGCTCAGCTTTCAGTCATACATTGCTATTGTATAGAAACAATTTTTGTGTATGATCTTGGATCCTAAAATCTTGCTAAACTCACTTATAAGTTCTTGGATTTTGCTTTATTTATTATTTATTTTTTTATTTTTTAACAGATTCTTATCATGTGTGGCTAATTTTTGTAATTTTATCCAGACGGGGTGTCACAATGTTGCCCAGGTTGGTCTTGAACTCCTGGTCTCATGCAATCCACCTGCCTTGGCCTCCCAAAGTGCTGGGATTAGAGGCATGAGCCAGCTTGGATTTTGCTTTTTACAGCTTCCTTTGTATGTTCTACATATTCAATCATATCCTTCACATACAGAGACAGTTACACTCTTTCCTTTATAATATGTATGCTTTCTATTTCCTTTTCTTGATTTATTGCAGTGGCCAGGATTGCCAGTCCTATGTTAAATAAGAGTAGTGACAGCAGACATCCTAACCTTGTTTTGATCTTACAGGGAAAACATTTGGTCTATCACCATTAAGTATGAGGATAACTGTAGTTTTTTCAAAGTTGCCCTTTATGAATGAGGTTGAGGAACGTTCCTTCTCCTCCTAGGTTGCTGAGAGCTTGTATCATGAATGGTTGTTGTATGTTGTCAAATGCTTTTTCTGCATTAATTGGTATGGTCAGATGGTTTTTCCTCTTTGGCCTTTAATCTTCCTTAATGTAGATTACATTGATTGATTTCCAAACACTGAACCAGCTGTAACCCCACTTGGTCATGATTCTTTCTGTATTATTCTTTCTATATATTGCTGGATTTTATCTGCTCATATTCTATTCAGGATTTTTGCTTCTATGCTCATGAGGAGTATTGGTCAGCTTTTATTGTTCTGTCTTGTCCCATTTTGAATAAACACTCTTTTCTTTGATAATGAAAACTTCTTAAATGAAATGCATGACCAAAAATCCTATAATTATCATTACTATTTTGAAATATTTTATTAGTTTTTATATGTTAACGTAGGTTTCCTCAATAAGACAAGCCACTACCCAGGCCTTGTTCATGGTGTTTGACTGCAAGTAAAACCATTGGCCCCTCTTGAGCCTTGTGTACACAACATAGATAATGGTGGAGCATGTTCTTTTGAGATCTTTAATCAATTCTGTCAGAGACCTCTCATATATATATATATATATGAGAGAAATTTTTTAATTTTATATTTTTATGCAGAAATTTTAATTTTATATATATATATATATTTTTTTTTTTTTTTTGAGACGGAATTTTACTCTTGTTACCCAGGCTGGAGTGCGATGGCGCGATCTCGGCTCACCGCAACCTCCGACTCCTGGGTTCAGGCAATTGTCCTGCCTCAGCCTCCTGAGTAGCTGGGACTATAGGTACACGCCACCATGCCCAGCTAATTTTTTGTATTTTTAGTAGAGACGGGGTTTCATCATGTTGACCAGGATGGTCTCGATATCTTGACCTCGTGATCCACCCACCTTGGCCTCCCCAAGTGCTGGGATTACAGGCTTGAGCCACCGCGCCAGGCCTAATTTTATATTTTTTAAAAATATACAGGAGGTATATATGTGCATATATATATATTTTTTTTTTTTTAAACAGAAATGAGTATCAATAACACAGCACAAGCCAACATTTACCTTGCACTTCGCATCTGGTATTCAGCTAAGCAATTTAAAAATTACCTCTCTTAAACAAAACTAGGTTTTTTATCTGTACATGGTAGATGATTCAACAGGCTACATAACTAGCTAGTGGTTTCACAAAGTATATAAAGAGGTAAGCTACATCTTGCATCCTGACTCCAAAGCTTATACTTCTAAATTGCTACCACAAGCTTTCAGATACTGTTCTGTACCCTATTTTTTCATCTAACATCTCCACTTTATCCTTTTTAATGTTTGTATCATATTCCATGGTAAATGATGTTTTCCAAAATTATTGCAATATATTCCATAAAATATGCTCTCCCAGCAGTGTGACTCTGATACTCCTCCCAAGAAGCATAGTTTATGTTCCCTCCCCTTTGAGTTTGGATAGATTTGACCATGGAGAAAGAGACGCTAATTTTCTTTTTTTTTTTTTTTTTTTTTTTTTGAGACAGAGCATCACTCCAGTCACCTAGGCAGGAGTGCAATGGTGCAATCTTGGCTCACTGTAACCTCTGCCTCCCAGGTTCAAGCAATCCTCCCACTTCCGCCTCCCCACCTGTTTAATGTGTTTAATGTGTGTGTCACCAGACCTGGCTAATTAAAAAAAATTTTTTTGTACAGACAGGGTTTCACCAAGTTGCCCAGGCTGGTCTTGAACTCCTGGGCTCAAGCAATCCACCCACCTCAGCCTCCAAAGTGCTGGGATTAGAGGCATGATCCACCATACCTGGCCGAGATGCTGTTATTCCTGATGCTAGGTCACAAGAGGCAATAACGTTTTCTCTGCCTGGTTGTCCAGAACCCAGGCAACATGCTGAAGAGGCCCATGCAACCACATAAAAAGGTCACATGTAGATGTTCATATGCAATCGCCCTAGCTGAGGTCCCAGCCAAGAGCATCGACCACCCAATTTGTGATGGAGCCTTCAGTTGTGTTGTCTGATGGAAACATGAACCATACATGTAGGCTACATATGTAAATTTAAATTTTCTAGTAGTCACATTAAAAATCAATTTTAGAAATACATTTAGTTTAACCTAACATATCCAAAATATAATCAATATAAAAACCATTAAGATAGCTTAGTTTCTTTTTTCATACAAAGTCTTCAAAATCTGATGCACATTTTATACTTAGAGTACTATTTTCAATCAACACACTAGTCGCCATTCAGACTGGCCTCACTTCAACTGCTCAATAGCCACTTGTGTCTACCATTCTGTGGCCACTTCAGATGAATCCACTGACCAACTGTCAATTCTAGCCTTGAGCTTTCCCAACTAAAACCCCAGACATCATGGAGTTACAAAGCTGCTCCTGCTGTGCCCTTTCTGAATTCTTCACTCACAAAGTCTGTGAGCATAAAAAATTGGCAACTAAGTGTGTGATGGTTTATTATGCAACTGTAGTAACTGGGATACTAGCTAATGAGAGTTTTATAACTTCTTTAAACATTTCTCTACTTAGATGTTTCTCCCACCTCTTCCCAGGATATTATAACCAGTGATGATGAGCAATACAAACTCTGTAAGTTAGTCAAATTATTTCCTTAAATGTTTGAGGATGGCATTTCTGGGTCAACGAGAACATACATTTTGTAGATTTATATTCATGTTGCCAAACTATTATCCAAAGCAGCTTAACCAGTTCTAACAATCATGTATATGTGTGCAACTGTGCTTCTCTTGATTAAATCTGGCCCTTTCCAATCATTAAATATTTAGATCCTTTCTTTTCTATTTCATAACAGTCTTCTCTTAAGTTTGCTTTATTTCTTTTATATTTTGAACTATATCTGTGATATATTTTTATCACAAAATATTCAGGTAATGCATTGACTATACAAAAGAAGTACTATACCATTATTCTTTACTTTGGATCTTTTTCAACTTGATGTCATAAACAGCTTTCCCTGTCAGCTCATAAAAGTCTAACTCACCAAATATTAATTAATTAAAGGACTGCCTTTTAATAAAATGTTGAGTGACTGCATGGTAGTCCAAAGACTGCATGTATCTTAATTTAAACATTGCCCTTGTGATAGACATTGCAATGACCACCTCTTCACTTCTACGATTCTGTAAAGACCACCTTTACTTTTTAATTAGATTTTAAGTAGAAATGTTAGGTCAAAGGGTCGAAGTTGGTAGGCATTAATAATCATTTATATTTCTTTTTCTGACAACTGTACTTTCATATCCAAGACGCTTTCTCCACTGGAAGTTTTATATTTATTTTTAAGGACTCTCTAGATATTCTAAGTGTTATCTGTTAAATATGATGATGGTAATATTTTGTCCCAGTCTAGCCCTTTGTATTTTAATACTGTGAAGCCTCTAGTTGTAGAAACTGAAAGCTTTTCGTTTCTATGTGCCTTATTTTTATGACTTCTGAGTAGGAAGATAACTATACTAAGTTACGGAAGATACATGAATGATACTTGATTAAATATTTCATTTCAAAGAACACAGCCAAAGTCAAAATTTCACTTCATCATACCAATACAGGTTGAGTATTCCTCATCTGAAATGCATGGGACCAGAAGTATTTAGGATTTCAGACATTTTTGGACTTTGCAATATTTGCACACACATAATAAGGAATCGTGGGAATGCATTTTAACCACAACCCATCACATAAGGTCTGGGTGGAATTCTGCCCCTGTTGGTGCTCAGGACAGTTTTGGATTTCGGAGCACTTCAGATTTCAGATTTTCTGATTATGGATGCTCAACCTATCCTCCTCAAAGATAACTGCTGTTAGCTCAGTGTGGTAGCACATGCCTAAAGCCCCAGCTACTCCAGACACTGGAGTGGGAGAGTTGTTCAAGCCCAAGAGTTCAAGGCTACAGTGAGCAATGATCATATGGCACTCTAGCCTGGTGACAGAGTGAGAGCTAGTCTTTAAAAAAAAAAAAAAAAAAAAAAAAAAAAAGATAATTGCTGTTAAGTTTGGTCTTTATTTTTCCAGGTCTTTTTGATTGTATGTAATATAGATTTCCTGCAACTTGCTTCTTTAATTTAACGGTATCATGGGGATATTTCTACTGTTGGATTTTTTTACTTATTTTTAGAGATGGAGTCTTGCTGTGTTGCCCAGGTTGGAGTGCAGTGGCTATTCACAGGCACAATCATGGTGCATTACAGACTCAAACTCCTGGGCTCAAGCAATCCTCCTGCCTCAGCCTCCCAAGTATCTGGGACTAGAGGCATGTGCCACCATGCCTGGCTTTGTATAGTATTTACAGCTCCACCTCATTCTTTTCAGTCACCACACAGTATGCTATAACTATTTCCATACTGACATACATTTAGGTTCTTCAAATATTTCACTAGTATGAACCTCACAATGAATATCCTCACAAGTGAGATGTTCTCTCAGAAGTACACAGAATATTTCTGTTAAATGCATAATTTATTTAATGTCTCCTCCATGATGGGCAGAAGGAATAAACTACTCTGCACAATTTACCACACTAACTACATTCAATGGCTCTTTCTTTGTTATGAATTTTCTTATGTTGTTTAAGGGCTGAACTTTGGGGAAAAGCTTTCCCACATTCATTACATTTATAAGGTTTTTCCCCAGTATGGAGTCTCTGATGTTCAACAAGGCCTGAGCTGTGCCGAAAGGCTTTCCCACATTTCTTACAGTGATAGGGTTTTTCTCCAGTATGAATTCTCTGATGTCCAGTAAGGGTTGAGCTCTTTGTAAAGGCCTTCCCACAGTCATGACACTGATAGGGTTTATTTCCACTATGAGTTTTCTGATGACCAGCAAAGGATGAGCTATATCTGAAAGACTTTCCACATTTACTGCAGTGATAGGGTTTCTCTCCAGTATGCATTCTTTGGTGACTAATAAGAGTTGAGCTCTTCCTAAAGGCTTTTCCACATTCATTACACTGATATGGCTTCTCACCAGTATGGATTTTCTGATGTTCCAACACAGTTGAGTTATCCCTGAAAGCTCTCCCACATTCATTACATTTAAAAGGCTTCGCTCCACTATGTATTCTTTCATGACGAGTAAGGGCTGCATTCTGAGCAAAGGCTTTCCCACAGTCATTACATTTGTAGGGTTTCTGGCCAGTGTGAATTCTCTGATGACTTAAAAGGATTGAGTTCTTTCTGAAAGCTTTTCCACATTCAATGCATTTGTGGGGTTTCTCCCTAGAATGAATCCTCTGATGGTGAATAAAGGTTGAGTGCTTCTTCAGGAACTTCCCACATTCAACACATCTATAAGGCTGCTTGCCTGCATGAACCTTACTGTGATTTAAAAGGGATGAACTGTTCATAAAGGCAATCCCACATTCTTTACACTTATGTGGTTTCTCACTGGTGTGATTTCTCCGGTGGCTAATGAAGGACGAGTTGTATTTAAAGACTTTCCCACATTTCTCACATTTATAGTTCTTCTCTGTGGAGCTTCTGCCCTCCCAGTCCAGGCCTTTTTCCATCATGACACTTTTCATTCGCTCTCCCAGAACAGATCCTTCAGAAGTGCTTTGCTTTAGGGCTGACATTTTTGTTTCGAACCAGTAATCTGGGACTGAAAGAAAATTGAAAAGTTCAAATGTTCTTTACGTTGAAATGATGAGAGTAAGAGTTGTGCAAGGGCTTAAATAATGTCCTATTCTACATAACTAAAGGTTATTAATGTGTCCCACTGGTGATTCTTGCTAACTGAGAAAAGAAGGTCAGACGAAGGGCAGGATAAGTAAATATGATTTTAAAGAAAATAATCTATACTATAAACACCGCATTTAAATAATGCAGTGGGCACCTAAGAAGTTCCCAAGTTAGGAAGACAACACAGAAAACAGCCAAAAAAGAAAAAAGACAAAGTGAGAATAAACACAAAATTGAGGAGAAAGACCAGAGTCACAAAGCAAGCTGTAATTACTACTAGGGCAGATTTCTGCAGGTGGTATATTTGAGAACATTATGATGTCCCCAAGAACTTGAGAAAAACATTTCTGTGTGATGATTTAACAATGAACCAAAATTTAATGGCTCAGAGGAAACAAAGTAGAAAAAATATTCAAGGAACCAAAATAGTCTCGGTCCAAAAAGATTTTACTATAATGTAAACTTTTAACATATCTATAAAACAACATACCTAGGACAGGCATGGTGGCTTACTCCTGTAATCCCAGCACTTTGGGAGGCCAAGGCAGGTGGATTACTTGAGGTCAGGAGTTCAAGACAGCCTGGCCAACATGGTGAAACCCTGTCTCTATTAAAAATTCAAAAATTAGCCAGGCATGGTGGCACGTGCCTGTAATCCCAGCTATTTGGGAGGCTGAGCCAGGAGAATCGCTTGAACCCAGGAGGCAGTAGTTGTAGCGAGCCAAGATTGTGCCACTGCACTCTAGCCTGGGCAACAGAGTAAGACTCCATCTCAAAAAAAAGAAGAAGAAGAAGAACATACCAATCAACGGGTTAACTATGTGAATCTTCTCTGGCCTTTTACAAAAGTACAGACACCAGACCCAAGACAGACAAAACAAAATGATTCAGACAAAAACATTCTAAAAACTAATAGAGCCAAACTTGTAGTAAAATTAACAATCACCAACCAATTCTTTTATCTAAATGCACTTTTCTTTTAAACATAAGTTGTATCTATCGATACCTAAAGATATATATACATACGTATGTATTTATACTTAGTAGTCTGGGGAGAAATTCCATACAACAAATATTAGAAATAAGACTTATTTTTTTCAAGGAAATGCAAGTTGTTGTTGTTTTCTGAGATGGAGTTTCACTCTTGTTGCCCAGGCTGGAGTGCAATGGCACAAACTCAGCTCACCACAACCTCTGCCTCTGGGGTTCAACTGATTCTCCTGCCTCAGCCTCCTGAGTAGCTGGGATTACAGGCATGTGCTACTATGCCCAGCTAATTTTGCATTTTTAGTAGAGACAGGGTTTTTCCATGTTGGTCAGGCTGGTCTCGAATTTTCAACCTCAGGTGATTCACCCACCTCAGCCTCCCAAGTGCTGGGATTACAATTGTGAGCCACCACGTCTGACCAGGAAATGCAAGTTAAAGGTGAACCCGGTCAGAAACAGCCCAGAATATTCCAGTGGCCTTTGATGGGATATGTGTTTAATGTATAATGATCAACTACAGAAAATTTCAAGATATTGATTGTAAAGCTGGAAATGTGAAGACACATGTGGACACCTGTTCTATGATGAGGGTGGCCTTGCAAAGCAGTGAGGAAGGGGAGGCTCTGCATTAGCAAATTTTAGGAGGAAAAAATAAATATAAACCCTACCTCATATGATGCACAAAAATCCATTCTAAGAGGATGGTAAATGTAAATATAAACAAAAAATAATAAAGCTTCTAGAATTTAACAAGGAAGAATATCTTCATCATCTTGGGAAAAGAAAAATATTAGGATCACAAAAATAATAAATGTTAATAATTATAATTTAAAATAAACATTTTTAATAAACCAGGACACTAAAAGCACTGACAATAAAGAGATTAATCAATTGAAAGAACTGGGCTGGGCATGGTGGCTCACACCTGTAATCCCAGCACTTTGGGAGGCTGAGGCAGGAGGATGGCTCAAGGCCAGGAGTTCCAGACCAGCCTGGGCCACATAGCAAGTCTCCATCTCCACAGAAAAAAAATTTTTTTAATTAGCTGAGCATGGTAGCATGTATTCGTAGTCTTGGCTACTCGGGAAGCTGAGACAGGATTGCTTGAGCCCATAAAAAGGAAGAACAGCCATTCATCAAGACCATTAACAGTCAGTGACAACACAAACCATAAAGAGAGGAATGGTACAATACCTGTAATTAGTAACAGGCTCTTCAAATAGTTACCCAATCAGAGATGCTCTAAAGGACCAATAAACATTCTGAGAGGTCTTTTTTTTTTTTTTTTTTTTTTTTAACACGGAGTCTCACTCTGTTACCCAGGTTGGAGTGCAGTGGTGCAATCTCAGCTAACTACAACCTCCGCCTCCCAGGTTCAAGCGATTCTCCTGCCTCAGCCCCACAAGTAGCTGGGACTAAAGGCACGCATCACCACACCCAGCTAATTTTTTGTATTTTTAGTAGAGACAGGGTTTCACCATGTTGGCCAGGCTGGTCTCGAGCTCCTGATCTCAGGTGATCCGCCCGCCTCAACCTCCCAAAGTGCTGGGATTACAGGCGTTCAGCCCTAAAATGTCTTTAACCTCATTAGATATCAGGGACATGGATATGAAAACCACAATGAGGCACACTGCACATCCAACAGAATGACCAACTTCACAAGACTGACCACAGCAAGTGCTAGCCAGGACATGGAACAAGGAGTGTTCTCACCTACTGATGACAAAACTATAACAGGGTACAAAACTCTGGAAGATTATTTGGCATTATATACTAAAGATGAATACATGCCCAACAGAAATGTAGCCACATATGAACCAAAAAATAATGTATAAGAATGTTCACAGCACTTGTAATAGCCAAAAGCTGGAAAATGCTATATAAGCATCTGAATGTAAGAGAGAAACTGCTGTAGAATCACACAATGAAATACTCTAGAGCAGTGAATTTCCAAGAGTGAGCTCCAGCCCCGCAGCACCAGCAGCAGCATGTCTGAGAACCTGCTGAATAAAGAACTCTGCAGGGGGCCTTGCAACTGTACTGCAGCATGCATTCTGAAGCATGCTAGAGTTTTCAGAAACATTGATCCACAGAAAAGAAATAAATAAAAATGAATGAATTTGAGAAAATGTTATGCATATGCCAGACAAAAAATTATATGCACTATATGATTCCATTCATATAAAGTCAAAAACAGGAAAAAATAAACTATAGTGTTAGTTCAAGGGGAGAAGAATGGGTAATAGTTGGGAAGAATCACGATGTGATTTACTCAGGAATTGTCAAAGTTCCATTTCTTAACCTAATTTTTGTTTACATGGGTATTAACTTTAAAAATACTAATTTAGGCTGTATGCATATTTTATCAGCTTTTCTATCTATGCATTAAATTTTTTAAAGCTTTAAGAAAGAAAAGGGAAGTCTAGCTTATAAATCTCTTACTACTTCAATCAGAGAAATCGAAATACAAATTGCAAAATATCCAAAAAAATTATAATGAAAACTCTACATATTATAACCTATTGAATACAACTAATACATTACACAGACAAAGTTTAAGGCTTTAAATATTTATATTACCTAAATAAGAAACGTCAATGAATGAATAACTAAAATGGTTAGGCAAAAGTAAATAAACCCAAGGAAAGCAAAAGAGAAAAGGAACTTAAGATTCAAAAGACAGAAAACAATAACACTAATAAATACATCCAAATGCTCTTCTTCAAAAAAATAAAACAGAGCTAATAAAGGGGAGAGATGAAAATATAGGAAATAGGAAAAAGACAAAGTAAGAAATCAGGGAAAAGTAATCAAAGATGTGGAGGATATTATAAAAAGAATCATAAAAAGCTACTTTGCTTAACACAAATAACTTCTAACCTTAAATTAATGGATACTTTTTAGGAAATTGTAAATTACTAAAACTGTTTCATAGAGAGAGAAAATCTACCTGGACAAGTCACTACTGCCAACACTGTCAGAAAAGTACCCCAATTCCTCCCCTTTGTTCTCCATCACAATAAATAAGTAAAAACAGGTCAAAGGACCCAAACCTTTAGGGAACAGCTATCATGTGAGTTAAACTAGACTAAAGGATAAAAATACAAAAGACCAAAAGTGTTTTATGAAAGTATGACAAAATTAAATCAAAGCCCAATGAAAATGGGCAGATGAAAAAGAAAATGTAAATACAGTTAAGTGTCAGTGCAAAAATTTAAATAAAAGATTAGCAAACAGAATCATCCACTGTCATATTCAGAGAATGATGTAATGTGTCATGGCCAAGATAATTGTGAATAAAATCTACCACAGAAACAGATCAAAACAGAAAAGACAAATATTTCCATATATCTTGAAAAGGCATTTAATAAAATTCAGCAACCATGCTTGATTTAAAAACTAAAATTTCTTAACAAAAGATGTGAATGAAATACTTCCTTTACATAACAATGTATGTGTATCCCAACTCGACAGCCAGCTCAACTGAGAAGCCCAGACACAATGCAAAGATGTAAAGACAAGCATGTCCATTATTACCTTTGTCAATAAGAAGTTGATATAAAACAAATTTTTTTTTTAAATCTGTGATATGACATACAACTAATTTCTTGAATGTATAAAGAATCCTTCACATTGACAATAAAAAGATCAACAACCTAATAGTAAAATGGGCAAAGGACAGGAACAGGCAGTTCTCAGAAAAAGAAATACAAGGGTTGCTGAAAATGGTGAAACATGCTAAATTACACTCCTGATAAGAGAAAGCCAAATTAAAATTACAGTAAAATGCTTTCACCTCTCAGACTGGCAAGGATCAAAACTTATAAGACACTGTTGACTAGCTATGATAAGAGTGGCACTCATACATTGTTATTAGGCGTGTAAACATGTATTATCTCTATGAATAGTGGAAATATCCACCAAATTTGAAAATATACTTAACCTTTAACAATTCTTATAGGAATTTACTCTATAGATTTACTTGTACACCAGAGAATTGATGTGTATGAAGATAATCATTGCAACACTGTTCAGAGTCTTTATGTCCACTAAAGACAACTGGTTATATAAATTACAGAACATCCATAAAGTGGAACACTATGCAGGCATTAAAAAGAAAGACAGGCTAGTGTGGTGGCTCATGCCTGTAACCCCAGTACTTTTGAAAGCTGAGGCAGGAGGATCACTTGAGGCCACACGTTTCAGACCAGCCTGGGCAAAATAGCAAGATCACATCTCTACCAAAAAAAAAAAATTTAAGAATAAATAAAATTAAAAAATTGGCCTGGTGTGGTGGCATGTTCCTCTGGTCCCAGCTACTCAGGAGGCTGAGGCAGGAGGATCACGTGAGTCCAGGAGGTCAAGGCCATAGTGAGCCATGATCACACCACTGTGCTTCAGCCAAGAAAACAGAGTAAGAATCTATCTCCAAAAGAAAGAAAGAAAGAGAGAGAGAGAGTAACTCTAAACAATATAGTTATGTGAAATAATTTCTAAGATATAAATGCCAAAGTAAGAGGCAAAAGAGTATGCTACCATGTGCTTAAAGAATACATGGATACTCTCACAAAGTACATATCATCTGCAAATCTCCACAAGAAACTGACACAGGGATGCCTCCGGGGAGGAGAACTGAATAATGAGAAAGGTATGTGAAGGAGACTGCATACCATTTGAACCATTTGAATATGGTACCATAAGCATGTCTAACAACTAACAGAAAGGGAAATACATAAACAGAAAAAAAAAACACATAAAATACTGAATGGCTGTGAAGTCTTTGTAGAAAGATTTACTAGTCCTCTAAGTAGATGAAAGAAATACTAGGGGAAACATTGCTTATTTTCATTACATCTAAGTTTTAAACATTCTATTTCAAGTCACGACCAAAATTAGAATAAAGAATAGAAGACTGAGCGATTTTTGTTACTATATAAAGAACCTACACAAGAATTTAGGGAAAAAATGTTAAACATAGTAAGAATAAGAGGAATTACTTCAAAAGCATCCCACCCACAACCAGCAAAAGCCCAGGTTAATCAAGACTACGTATTACTGGTATTTTACACGAAATACAGTTATAAACATTCTCCTGAAGATGATAGAGGCAAAATAACAATTAGAGTTTTAGAAGAACAAATCCTGGCAGGATAAATATTTTAGGTGAGAGAAACATTCAGGCTTAGAGATTTAGGAATAAACTATGGCACAGAGAAAGTGACGTACAGAAACATATACAAAGTATACACAGAGAAAAATGAGAGCCAAGAGCAAAAGACAGTAGAAAAGAGAAATAAAAGAAGATCCATAAGAAAAGGGAAGAAAATGTTTCCCCATCAATGTGTTTGCCAAAAATAATTACCCAAGAGCTAGAAAACCATGCTGATGTTTGGAATCTGCCACTGCCACTAAGAAGTGTTATATAGCCAGTTAGCTACCTTATATGAAAGACTGGGTAAGGAATGGAAAATGAACAGGGGCCAGGCATGATGGCTCACATCTATAATCCCAGCACTTTGAGAGGCCAAGGTGGAAGGATTGCTTAAGGGCAAGAGTTCAAGACAAGCCATGACTAATATAGCGAGCTCTGTCTCTACATAAAATAAAAATTTAAAAATTAGCCAAGCATGGTGGTGCCTGCCTGTAGTCCCAGCTACTCCTACTCAAGAGCCTGAAGTGGGAGGATGGCTTGAGTCCAGAGTTTGAGATTGCAATTAGCTATGACTGCACTCCAGCCTGGGTGACAAGGCAAGACTCTGTCTCAAAAAATATGAAAATGGACCAGTAGTAGAAAGAAACAAAAGACAGCCTGATCAATGCGTGGAAGGACAGAGAGAAAAATCACATAAAGAGCCTGAGGATTTCAGGGGTCTGGGAAATGGCATGGAAGGGCCTATGCCCTCAGAAGGGAGCGGTGCTCCCAAATGCGGAAAGACTAAGGAGAAAAGCGGCCAGCCACTTGACAGGAGGATGACCTCAAAAGAGGAAACAGGGTCAGGGCCCCAGCCCTTCTGCACCAACAGGACACTCAAAGATGAGCTTTCCAAGCAGGAGCCCCTGCACTGCTCCATGTGCTCAGCTGCTGCTGGGATGGATCCCACCCACTCACCTGCACGCGTGCCTGATGGAGCCTCTCGCACCTCCATCCATGGCTCTGCCCCTTGCTCCAACTGCGCGATTAGTTTTGGTTTGGAAGAGAGAAGCCCTGTTTATAAAGAAAAAGGATCTTAGAGGAAGAAAAAAATTAATGAAAAGGAATGTGACAGTGGTTACAAGCACAAGCAGTCACCCCAGACCTCAGTGTCAATGAGCATCTGCAAGAAGCATGGACAGGTCAGGGAGGCCTAGAGGGTGGCACCCAGGATGTCCAACTCATGAAGTAAAGCAAACAGGGGGGGCAAAGTCAATGAGAAAACCAAGTTCTCCTGGAGGACAAAAAACTCCTATTTTAGGAGGCAGATGAATCATGACACAGAAGCATTCCAGAACTGTACTAGTTGGCACGACAAAGCTGCCCATCTTAACTCTGTATAGCTCTGATCTTCCTTGAGGTGGTGGAAGGAGGATAAACTCCAGCCTCTAAGCCCACTCTTAAGAAAAACAAAATAAACACAGCATTTAAAACTTTTCAATACCCCAAACCATTTACCCTGTGAAAACAAAGTTGCCCAGCAGGTCAATCCTGAGTCAAGGAGAAAGCCATCCTCACCCACAGACACCAGATTCCCATAGTTTTCCAGCATCACATCCCTGTACAGGGCCCGCTGAGCAGCATCCAGGTGTCTCCACTCAATCCGGGTAAAGGCCACGGCCACATCCCCAAATGTCAGCAGTCCCTGCAAAACCAAACCCAATTCTGCTCATCCAGGAACCCTTGAGGGAGGCATGCCAGGAAAAGGGAGCAAGGTGGTCAAGGCCAGCTTCTGACAGTTCTAACGGTGCTCATGGGAACCAACAAGTAAAAGCTGACGGCTGAGGGGAGGTGCAACCATGCCTGTCCTGCTTCCTCAGGGCCTGGCCTCTGCTCACCCCGCCCTTCATGTCACCTCATCAAAAAGGTCTTCTCTTTCTCCATCTCATCCTCTGCGACTCTGTCTCAAAACCCACTTCATTTTTCTTCACAGGATTTCTCACCACCTGACAGGAGAAGTTTGTACTGACTGTCAGCATCCTTTCTAATGTGGGCTCCAAGGGGGACAGTGTGGGTCACTGCTGCCTTCCAGTCAAAAATACTGCCTGACACACAGAAGTGTTCAGGCTTTGTTCAATCAACAAATAAATAGAAACTCTAAAAAGACATGGAAAGTGATCAGCTTTATCTGAGAATTTACAGGGAGTATGATCTGACTCTGGGGCAGAATATTTTTTGAAAAGAAAAAAAATTGCTTTCATAACTAACAACTCACTATGTATGAGGCACAGAGCTAAACCCTGAGATACATATCATCTCTCTAAATTTCTGCCATAACTATATGAAGTAAAATATATTTTGTAGCTAAAGATACAAAGGTTCAGAGAGTTGGAAGAATTTGCTCAAGGTCCCAGGGTGGTTGAAGGTACAGTAAAAAAGGAAGCTATAAAAAGTGGTAATGAAACTAGAACAAATTGGAATGGCCATGAAATATTAAAAGGAAAAAATGAGTAAGCCTTACAAAAAATGCAAAAGGTATTTCAAATGAAATTACTTGACTTGTTAGAGCAGTAGAAATGTGGGTGATTTTTAATTTTTAAAAATTTCTTTACTTGTATAATATTCAAATGTTTATCACTTCCTTTCAAAAATACCAGCTATTTAATCAGCTTCTTGAAATCTTTCAAAACCTTGTTTTCTCCAGGATAAACGCAAACTCCAGTCTGGGATTCTAGACAATGAATGTTTCCAACATTCTCACTTCAGTTTGTTCATGTTTCCGCCATAATGACCTCATTCAGGCAGCACTTTCCCCTAGTATTCTCTGCGATTATGCAAATCTCATTTATTCTTCAGGAAGAACGAAGGTGCCCACTACTCCACTCCTCCAACCCCACCCCACACTGTCAAGAAAGTGCTGCCATCACCCTTATCTTTATGGCCTATGTCTTTATACGCTAATGTGTATGTTTTTCTTCATCTGCCAGTTTGCAAAGTACTGTTCTGCTTCTAGCACTTTAGAAAACATGGGCAGCAATAATCTTCTTGGTGAATGACTGTGTAATGGGTAGAGAGGACAGAAATGAAGGATAGTGGGACCCAATCAGGATCACTTCGGATAGCTTGATCCACACACAGGGCAGGGCATCGTCTGGGCAAGAGGCATAATTCCCACCTCGCTGAAACCGGTGGTTTCTCAAGAAATGGAAAAATCAAACTTGCCTGGATCTGGGCTCTTGGGGCCATCTGTCTCCTGAACTGTTCTCCCAGGCAAGGGCAGAGAATCCTGCGTAAATCAATCTGGGAAAGAAGAGAGGAAATATGAGGAAGTCTCTCCGTGCCCTATCCTAGCTAGAACCTGCCCTCTGGACCAGGCCCCCACCTGCCCGCTCCCTCCACAGGTGGACAGACAGGTCCAAGTGAGTACGCTCGGGAAGAAAGGAAAGGGAACGGCTGCTGGGATCCGGCATGGACTGCAGCCAACTCCACGCCAAGCACCTTTGGCAGCACGGGGGGACGGCCTTGTCAGTGGCTCAATCTGTCGGCCCGGGCGCAAGCCTCGCGCGCTCTGTGATGCACCAGCTTCGGGCGGTCGCTCTACTTAGCGCAACCACTGCGGGTGGGTCCTGCCCACCGCTGCCGTCCCCTCCCACCCCGGCTCGCCCCTCGACCCGCCCCCGGGAAAGGCGGGGAGCACCCGCCAGGGACCCGAGGCTTCAGGGACCCAGCTGGGGGTGGCCGCTCACAAACCGAATCGAGCCGGCAAGGCTGCGGAGCTGCACGCCCAGAGAGACAGCGACCACGCCACGCGGTCCTAACGGTAGCAACCTGCCAGGGGCTGATGCAGGGCTCGCCCCACGGGGAGGTGGGCAGGACCGGAAGCGGAAGTGGTTGCGGTCGCGGAGGGCTCTGGGAAATGTAGTCTGGGCCGCTCGGGGGTCTTAGGGGCTCCATTCTCAGAGTAGGTTGGCATCACCCGCGAATCTTTGAAAAGTGAACATGCGGGAAGTGGAGAGCTACTGATCGCAGTCCGGAGGTGGTGGCTGACATGCAAAATCTGGTAGAAAGATTGGAGAGGGCAGTAGGCCACCTGGAAGCAGTATCCCATACCTCTGATATGCACCGTGGGTATGGAGACAGTCCTTCAGAAGCAGGAGCAGCTCCATCTGTGCAGGCATTTGACTCGCTGCTTGCCGGTCCTATGGCAGAGTACTTGAAGATCAGTAAAGAGAGTGGGGGAGACGTGCAGAAACATGCGGAGATGTTCCACAGGGGTTTGAAGTTGGAGCGAGCTCTCTTGGCTACAGCTTCTCAGTGTCAACAGCCGGCAGGTAATAAGCTTCCCGATTTGTTGGCACCCATCTCAGAGCAGATCAAAGAAGTGATAACCTTTCAGGAGAAGAACCGGGGAGCAAGTTGTTAAATCACCTGTCAGCTGTTAGCAAAGGTATCCAGGCCTTGGGCTGGGTGGCTATGGCTCCCAAGTCTGGTCTTTACGTGAAAGAAATGATGCTGCCGTGTTTTATACAAACCGAGTCATCAGAGTACAAAGATGTGGATAAGAATCACGTAGACTGGGTCAAAACTTATTTAAGTATACAGACTTACATTAAGGAGTTCCATACCACAGATTGGCATGAAGCAAAATGGGGCCTGTAGCAAAAGAACTGAGTGGACTACCATCTGGACCCTCGACTGGATCAGGCCCCCGGCCTCCCCCAGCAGTTCAGGCTCAGATAAGTCTGTTTCCCTCTCAGCACTGTTTGTGCAGATTAATTCAGGGGAGAGCATCACACATGACCTGAAACATGTATCTGATGACATGAAGACTCAAAAGAACCCTGCTCTGAAGGCTCAGAGTGGTCCGGTACACAGTGGCCCCAAGCCATTCTCTGCACCTAAACCCCAAATCAGCCATAAAGGAGCCAGCTGTACTTGAACTGGAGGGCAAGAAGTGGAGAGTGGAAAATCAGGAAAATGTTTCCAACCTGGTGATTGATGACACAGAGCTAAAACAGATGGCTTACATACACAAGTGTGTCAACATGACATTGCAAATCAAGGGCAAAATTAACTCCATTACAGAAGATAACTGTAAGAAATTTGGTCCGGTATTCAATGACATGGTGGGCATTGTGGAGATAATCAACAGTAGGGATGTCAAAGTTCAGGTAATGGGTAAAGTGCCAAACATTTCCATCAACAAAACAGATGGCTGCCATGCTTACCTGAGCAAGAATTCCATGGATTGTGACATAGTCAGTGCCAAATCTTCTGAGATGAACATTCTCATTCCTACAGAAGGCGGTGACTTTAATGAATTCCCAGTTCCTGAGCAGTTCAAGACTATGGAATAGATAGAAGTTGGTCACCACAGTGACAGAAATTGCAAAATAAGTGAAGTGGGTTGTCTGCCCTCCCTTCACATCATGGGATAAATCTGTATCAAGATGGTTTTCTAGATTTCCTCTACATTTCTGCTCTTAAAACTGCTTCTCTGCTCTGAGCAGCACAGCTATCTGCCTTCACTGAAATATACCTCAGGCTAAGAGTAAGGGTGGGATAGCAAGAAGGTGCAGCTTTTCCAGATCAGCTCAACCATGACCAGGACTGCCAACCAGAACTGATGATGCATTTTAGCTTTGAGCTGTGGGGGTTTAGTCTACCAAGAAACAGTCCATTGGGAAGAAAACAGTCCCAGGAATTAACAGATCAGAATGTTCACACTGGTTAATCTTTTTCTAACAGTGAGCATGAAGATAGCAGAAGCTGGTGTGTTTCCAGATGGTTCTTCTAACCAAACTAATTTTTCACTGTTGACAAATGAGGCAGGGGGTACCCGGGACCAAAGGCTGAGGCTTGGCCATCTAGCATTCCACGCAAAATTGTTTTCTATAACCATTTTTTTTTTTATTCTCTATTCCATCCTGGGTCTGCCTCAACCATGAGATAGGGAGTCTCTGGTACTAGCTGCTGTGGCAGTGCCCTTCATCCAGGGCAGTTAAAGGAGTCTTGGACCCTGTCTTTCTCTGAGATCCCTGCCCAGTACCTTCCTACAGAGATGACTTTAAAAGGAAAAACAACACACCATTCCAAGGAGTCTGGCATTTCTGAATCCTCCTTCCCTGCTAGGTGCCTGTCACCTTCTTCACTGCCTTCTTTACCCTGTCACACTCATCAGCTATGGCTTCTGTCCAAGCACCTGAACAGGGGACTAAAACCTCCACTGCAGGCTGATTTTGGGTCTTGATTTATGTAATACCTAAATCTTACATAAATTTGCACAGCACTGCTAATGTAAATTTCAGTTTATTTCCCTCTAGGACAAACACAAAAATATAAAATGTTTTGGAGAGAAGAGAGATTGTCCTGTGATTTCTACCCTTTCCCTAAGGTCTGTGGAAATAAGCCTTTATATACTTAAACTTATACAGAAAATAAATACCAAAAAGAAAAAAAAAAAGTGAAGGTGCCAGGGTCCCAGCTTCAGAGATTCTGAATTAATTGCCCTGAGTCTGGTCCTGGCATCAGGATTTTTAAAAGCCCCCAAGTGATCTAATATGCTGCTTAGAATGACACCTGCCACCAGAAAATGGTAAGAAAAATGCGAGAGACATATTTTATGTGAGAAAATATGAGAGACATACTTTGGATAGCTGTTGATTTCCAAATAATCCTGTTTTTATTTCATACAAACAAAAAGCATGTTAGAAAATTATGGCACCTAGAACACTAAAAACATTTCCTCACCATTTGCTGACATAGAAAATAAAAGTAGGTTGAATCTGTTTTAACAAATATATTATTTTCTAGGAAAAATAAACATTTCAATTTATTAATTTCAGGAATTAGAAAACTAAGGGAAGAAAATGTATCTCTCTCATTCAATTAGGGCCTTTTAAAAAAAAGTTCTCAGGATGGTGCATTCATTTACCAATTTACCAATGATTGACCAAAGCCCCACTGTGTGCCACTCACTCCTGGATGCTGAGGATAGAACAGCTGACAAGCATCCCTTCTAAAGTGGAGTCAGCCTCCTTTGCATCCTCCTCTCAACTATGCCTGATGAGCTGAGTTTCAGCCAAGAATCCTACAAAGCCTCTTTATCAAGAATCACCCCACCTTTAATATCCAATTAAGCTCCTCTTCCTACACCCCAGATACCTAGCCAAGTGCTTCTTGGTAATTTTTCATCTACTCCCTTGCCCTGCCTATTGGTATAAATCCTCATTTGTCCCTGTTGTACTCAGAGTACAGTTCAATCTCTTCTCCTATGGCAGTAGTCTTGAATAAAGTCTTCCTTGCCATTTTCAACAAGTGTCAGATTAATTTTTTTAATAGAATGAACAAAACAAATAATTTCCATCTCCTCAAAGACATTACATTCCAGTGGAGTACAGGAAGACAGAGATTAAACAAAAGCAAAAAGATAAAGAAGTGGGAGAGGACTGTTAATACACAGCTGTAAGGAATGGCCTCTTTGATAAGAAATTATCTGAGCAAAGGACTGAAGGAAGTGAGGCACAGGAGTATTTGTGGGAGAGTCTGTTTTAGTCAGATAAAACAACAAATGCAAAGCTCCCACCTGGAATGCGTTTGGTTTACTCGAGAATCAGCAAAAAAGTCCATGGTTATTAGGGTTAAGACCCTAATAACAGGAAAAGGCCAGATCATGTTGGTCCATTTAGTCCACTGAATGGATTGGTTCTTATTTTGAATTAGATGAGAAGCCATCAGAATATGGAGAAATTGGAACCCTTATTCATTGTTAGTGGGATAGCAAAACAGTGCAGCTACTTTGGAAAACCATTTGACAATTCCTCAAAATGTTAACCATAGAGTTACCATATCACACAGTGATTCCAGTCCTAGATATGTACCAAAGAGAAATGAAATACACATCCACACAAAAACTTGTACATAAAAACTTGTTCATATCAGCATTATTCATAAGAGCAAAAACACTGATACAACACAAATGTCCATAACTAGCAAATGAATAAACAAAATGTGGCATACCCAAACAATGGAATAACATTTGTCAATAAAAGGAATGAAATACTGATACATGCCACAACATGGATGAACTTGGAAAACATGTTAAGTGAAAGAAGACAGTCACAAAATGTCACATATTGTATGACATGTCTTTATATAAAGTATCCAGAAAATGCAGTCCATAGACACAGTAAATATATGAATGGGTGCCAGTGGCCAGAGGGAGAGAAGGAGTGGAGGTGGTGGGGCCTGGGAGAAATGGGAGAGTGACTGCTGATGTGCCTGTAGTTTCTTTTAGGGGTGATGAAATGTTCTCAAATTGAATCGTGTTTGTATTCATTTCCTAGGGCTACTGCAACAAAGTACAACAAACTCCAACAACAGAAATTACTTTTCTTACAGTTCTGGAGGTAAGAAGTCCACAATCAATGTGTCAGAAGGGCTGGTCCATTCTGAGACTCTGGGTAGAATTCCTCCTTAAATCTTCTCAGCTCCTTGTGTTCACTAGCATCCTTAGCATTCCTAGCTTGCAGCTGTATCACTCCAATCTCTGCCAGTCATCACATGGCATTTTTCTGTGCATCTCAGTCTTTGTATGACATTTCCCCATCTTGGAAGAATACCGGTTATATTGGAGTAGAGCCCACTGGAATGATCTTGTCTTAACTTGATCACATCTGCAAAGACCCTATTTCCAAACAAGGTCACATTCTGGGTACTGGGGGCTAGGACTTCAACATATACATTTATTGGGGGGAGGGATGCAATTCAACCTCTAACACTTAGTGTTATATGGGTTTTGCTCTTTGTTTCCCCTTAATACTCTGTAATTTATTTGTATAAAGTTCAAATAGTGTAAGTGATAAGATGCAAGTTTATCTCAGATGACTGGATAATCATCCTAGCACCATTCGTTGAAAAGTCCATTGTTCACTCCAATAAAATGCCATCTTTATCCTATGCCACACTACACTGTCTTATCAAGTCAAAAGAGATTATTATCATTAAAAACCACTCTCTGACCTCCTGAAGAGACACAGTTGATGCTGACTGAGCACTCTGTCTCCCTTCCACTGTTCTTACATCACCTGCAAGATCCCTTCCTAGCCTCTAGGGAGAAGGGCTTGGGAGAGAAGGTAATGGGAGAGCAGAACACACTGGTGAAGTCAGTCAGTGGCCTCAAATCTAAAACGACAGGCCATGTGACCCAACACATGGTGGATAAACCCATTAGGAAACCAGGAGACCTGACTAAGCTGGGTCTGAGAATGTGGTTATGACATTAATGATTACTCTTACTAGTGTTTTACCAGGTTCCAAAGGGATCACCCAACTTTTTCCAGCAAGGGCACCTGAGGACCAGTCTTTCCTTACTTTGGGGGCCAGATCCAGAGCCTGCATTTATTTATATACAGCTAACATTTGCTGGGTCAGAGGACATGCAGACCCCTTTACATACATCACTGCACTGAGCCTTCACCACCAAAGAAGGTACAATTCTCATTCTCATTTTGCAGATGAGGAAGTTGGCTCAGAGAACGTATCTTGTCTTTGGTCCCTCACCTAGTAAATAGCAGAGCTGGGTACCAACAGTCATTGTTATATCCCAAAGCAAAACTGCCCCCATTGGCTTTCCATCATTCCTCAACTGTTTGAACTCCTTGCCTAACCCATGGGGCCCTCCAGCCTTTCCTGCCTGCTTTGCCATCCTCACCTCTCCCCATACCCACCCTGCTCACGTGGCACCCCACCTAGGGAGCTGGACCCATCTGAGAGCTGCCCTGCGCTCTTCCTTCTGCTTGCCTAACTTGGGCCCCCACTCTTGTTCTGACCAACTCCTCTCCATCCTTCCTATCTAAACTAAAATATCAATTTCACTTCTGTGGCTCAAGACTAAGAGACACCCTCTCTTAGTACACTCCTTAGTAAGTGCTCCTGTGTGGGGCCTGGACAGAGTATCAGTTGCCAGCAGACAGATGTAGGCAGAGCCTGCAGGAGTCACACCAGTCATTTGAAAAGTACACTATTTACTCATAATAGAGATTAAGGACTCAAAATGGGGAGTTCACTGTTTCAATCACTACCAGCTAAAACTTACAGAGACAGGCTCTGTGCTAAATGCTTAAATTCCTTACTTCTTTAGCCACTTGGCAATGTGAAGCGGATGGTGTTATCTGTCCCCATTTTTTTAGATGAACTCAAGGCCAAGTGGAGATGTGGTACTCCAGTCAGTGGGCGGCACCAAGGCTGGCAACAGGCTGGGCCAGGATGAAATTTGGACCTTTCCCAGCAGGTAGTGGGAAGCTTTGGAAAGTTTTACACAGGATGAGATAGGAGCAGGCCTTTTTCTCAAAATATCACCCTGTGGGGACTGGGGTAGTGAGAACTTTAAGGGAAGGGACTCATAGCCAGAAAGGTAAGGAGCATATTGTGAGCACATCCAGTGACCCAGTGAATGCCCTTCCACAGCTTCATCCTAAGGAGAAAATCAGCCAAGTGTCCAAAGGTGCATGTTTGAGAACACTGATTGACAAGGACCACAGGTGTGCACTATCACGCCCAGATAATTTGTTTATTTTTTGAGACAGAGTCTCACCCCATCACCCAGGCTGGAGTGCAGTGACAAGCCAAGGATTCACCATCAGACTGTACCTGTAATACCTGTACAAACTGGATAAATCCCTCTCTTCTTGAGGTCTCAAGATATCTTGAGGTTTCTGTGCCTGTCAGAAACTGATACTCTTTTCTTACCAAAAGGTCAGGAAGCTTGTAAGGGAACTGTGTAGACAAGGCACCAGGCCAGTCATGCCCCAACTCTACTGGCTTTATAAGTCAATTTCAGTTCTTCAAGGCAGTCCAGTCACATCAGAAAATATGTCATTCCAGTCAAAATGGTGGTTTTAAAGAAAAGCGTCTACAATTGTGTCCTGTTAAAAAGAAAAATAGATTCTTACAGAGCTTACGCAAATAACTATAGCTGTAATGTAAGAATACACACAAATAGTTTCTGAATTCTGGAGAGATCAGGTAAAGAGAAAGGTAAATGTCTCAACTTGCTCACAACTATATATTTTAGGCTGCGCATGGTGGCTCATGCCTATAATCCCAGCAGTTTGGGAGGCCAAGGAGAGCGGATCACTTGAGGTCGGGAGTTCGAGAACAGTCTGGCCAACACGGTGAAACTCCTCTACTAAAAATATAAAAATTACCTGGTGTGGTGGCAGGCACCTGTAATGCCAGCTACTCAGGAGGCTGAGGCAGGAGAATCACCTGAACCCAGAAGGTGGAGGTTGCAGTGAGCCAAGATTGCACCATTGTACTCCATCCTGGTCAACAAGAGTGAAACTCCATTTCCAAAAAAAGAGTATATTTTACCCAATTTCTGTGAGTTATAAATATCTCAAAAGAAAAAAGTTTTCTTGACTCCATAAAACAAAACATAAAAAGAATCAGCAATGTTTCAAACAAAAAGACATAAAAATTTTCACTCTTCCATCAGTTCAGTCCCATGTAATCAATTCTTGTTCTTCTTGATGTTGAGTTAGTGATATGGTTTGACTCGATGTCCCCACCCAAATCACAAATCGAGTTGTATTCCCAGTGTTGGAGGTCAGGCCTGGTGGGAGGTGATTGGATTGTGGGGACAGACTTCCCTTTTGGTGCTGTTCTCATGAGAATGAGTTCTCACAAGATCTGTTGTTTAAAGTGTGTCGCAGCTCCTCTCTCTTTCTTACTCCTGCTCTGGCCATGTAAGATGGGCCTGCTTCCCCTCTGCCATGATTGGAAGTTTTCCTAAGGCCTCCCCAGCCATGCTTCCTACACAGGCTGCAGAACCGTGAGCCAAATAAATTACACTTTTCTTTATAAATTACACTTTCTTTCAGGTATTATTTATAGCAGTGCAAGAATGGACTGACACAATAAGTGATCTTCATGAGCGCATCAGTTTTTTTATTAGTGTTCTGTATGTTTTGTTGTTGTTGTTTTGTTTTTATTTCTGTTTCTTTTGATACGGAGTCTCACTCTGTTGCCAGGCTGCAATGCAATGACATGATCTCGGCTCACTGCAATCTCTGCTTCCAGGTTCAAGCAATTCCCCTTCCTCTGCCTTCCAAGTAGCTAGAACTACAGGTGTGCGCCACCATGCTCGGCTAATTTTTTGTATTTTACTAGAGATGGGGTTTCACCATGTTGGCCAGGATGGTCTTGATCTCCTGACCTCTGATCTGCCTACCTTGGCCTCCCTAAGTGCTGGGATTACAGGCATAAGCCATTGCACCCAGCCCCTGTACGTTTTTATGTAGTCTAATAGTATGATCTCCAATGCTATCAGAAGCCTACATTCAAGAGTACAAGTCCTGGTCCTTTCCATGAATATCCTTGAAGACATAACACTTTAGGATTTGCATAGAGCTAAAAGCGCTATGACAAAAACCATCAGATTAAAGCAACTTACTACATGTATCAAGATACTAACATTTTTTAGAAATCTCATACAATTTTGAAACACATATTAGTAACACATTTATGGCACTGGGCTCTTTGCAGGCTTTCACAGGCCAAGCCTCTGTGCAGCATGATGCTGTGTGGAAGCAGCATCATCCCTTGCATGGCCCCTCCAGCCAGGCAGGCACCCGAGATGAGAACTGCACCCTGCCCAGCACCACAGCTCAGCCACCAGCAGAAGCCCCACCCTTTGCAGTTGGCTTTCCTGCTGCTGCACCTCAGTAGCTAGCTCTGATGGCCATCTCTGCAGCTGGCGCGGCTGTGGGCTCTACTGTTGGGCACACACTGGGGGCTTTAGCGGAAGACATAATGCTGAGCCTCCAAGGCCTGGCACCACTTACCACAAACCTCAGGGAACCCAGCCAGCACAGCAGCAGCAGCCTTGCTTCTGAGATCAAACAGTTTTTGGAGCGTGCCCAGAACTAGGGTGACATAAAGCTCTGTGAAGTTTCGATGAGGTGCTGAATCAGTACAGATGTGCAAATGGAATCGCCTAATCAAGAAGTCTAAACTGAAGAAATGAAAATGGCTCACATGACCAAGTTAATTTAGCATAAAAATATAACTGATAGTAAAGGTATAAAGTATAAAACCATCAGTTAAACTTCTCCTGTCATTCACATCTTTTCTGCTTCAGAATTGCAATGGAAGACAGTATTCTCAGTGTGTAGAATTTCACCGAGATGGTATAGAATTTTGGGCTTGACCTGTGGTCTCCTTAAACCAGCTGTTGTAATTTTATTGTTTGAGAGTTAATTCGAATAAAGTGACTTTCTCACCCCCCTCACAAAACAAAATTGACTTAGGCATGCTGGCTTACATCTACAATCCTAGCACTTTGGGAGTTCAAGGCTGAGGATCTCTTCAGCCCATAAGTTTGAGATCAGCCTGGGAAACATGGTAA